GGCCTCAGCAAAATCACACCCCCAATTCCCACCACCTAAGTATTCGTGCAGTCCACAGGGAAACTAAGGTACACACAGTATTAGTAGAACAGTAAGACTCTCATGCAACAGAGCAAGATGAATAAAACCCCACTTCGTCACAGCTGGGATAGTTTATTTTGTTCAGGGAACTGGTATAAGCTATGCTGGTGAAAGCACTGCTTTGCGATATATGCTGCATTTTCCCTCTGTGGCCAACCATGTCTAGTGCCGACCAGGCCTAAGGCTGAAGTGGATGCATTCACCACGGAAGTTTGTAGGAGTGGCACCCAACTTACTCCAGGGCTGTCCTGGGTGCAGGGCTGGCTCTAGGCATCAGCTAAACAAGCAGGTGCTTGGGGCAGCACATTTCTAGGGGTGGCATTCTGGCGCCGGCCATCATAGGCACCGACTCCGGGGCATGGACAAAAAGTGCTCCCGCCGCCCCAGCTCGCCTCCGCTCCGCCTGCTCCCCTGAGCGCGCCGCCCAGGACCGGCTCTAGACACCAGCAAAACAAGCACCTGCTTGGGGCGGCACATTCCCAGGGGCGGCACAGCAGATGGTAACAGTTGTGGAGGCAGCTGGGCCCGCATGGCCTCAGCCGCACAGTGCAGAGCGCAGGGCACCTGCAGCACGCGGGCGCCGCTCACCACCTCGGCCAGGTTGTCATGGCGCACGTCGCCCATGCCGGCCATGTCATGAGCAGGCGCAGTCCCCAGTAGCTCACCCCCTTCACCCGCAGGATGTCCGGGGACTTGGCCGCCAGCACCGACTTGTGGGCTCGGATCCGCCGGCCGGATACTTCTATCACCAGGTCCGGCTCCTCCGAGACCAGCTGCTGCGGGCTCCAGGGCTGCGTTCCAGCCTGTGGACAATAAATACCATGCGGCGGCCGGGCGCCTCCTCCTGCCTCGGACTCGCGCGTTGTTAATCCCCCACTGGCTCTTTCCCACCCGGCTGCAGGAGGAGGCTGCTCCGGGATCCTGCTGCGGGGCTTTGTCCCCCGCCCCGGGCGAACTGGAGCACAAGGAGGATCTGAAACCGCTAGGAGCTTGCAAAGGGAGCGCGGCGCTTTCCCCACCCCCGCTCTCCTCTGCCCCAGCTGATGTGCTCCCTTCCATGGAGCCGGGCGGTTGCTGGCTGCCCTTGCTTCTCTCCGCTTCCCCCAGAGTTTCCCTGGTGGGAGCAGAGCCTTTTAGGACAGGCTCTAGCAGAGGTTGGACCTGGCTAATGTACGTACACACCCCCACACACCCACCCCCATCCCCCCTCAGCAGCACAATCAGCCACCCCTTCGCCTTCCTCTTCTCCCCCGCCCTTTCCTTTTTCCCCTTTCCGGTTTAAGGTTGAACGTTACTGTGGGTTTTCCTTGCTCAACTCTCCTTCTTGGCACATGGTCAATTTCAGCCTTGTTTCCCAGCCTGGCCTCCTCTCACATGCTGACAGCAGAAAGAGGTGTGGCAGCCGTCCCTCCTTTTCAACTCCACTAATTTCAACATTGGTTAGATCTCTGTAACCATCATAAGTTTGCTGCAGCTTGATTGCTCAGACTTTCCGTGAGTGGCATTGACAGATCAATGTATAGCAATAAAGTATCTCACTTCCTGTTCCTTGGGGGAGTTGGATTTTTTTTTTCCTGGAGCAATTTAATTTTCTATGAGCCTTTTTCCTTTTTTTTTCCTTCAGAGTAAGCGACACATGGTGTTTAACAAGTGAAAGATCACCAAGTTTTAACAGTTTTGATTTACCAGATGTTCGTATCAGCCTGCATGCAACTCCCAAGATCAGTTTGACTAATTGCACTGTTTTATTTCAGCTCAAAGAGGAACTAAAGATTTTCCTTGGAGTTTCTGCTCTGAAATTTGCAGCAACAGCGTCAACTAAACATGCTGATGTGTGATTATATTCTGCGATTATTTCCCCAGTATGCAAACATGTGTAAAAGCCAAAAAAAAGGGGAGGGGCCGCCAACATTTTTTTGCTTCGGGCAGCAAAAACCCTGGAGCCGGCCCTGGCGGTTCCTCTACCCCCCCCCCCCATTACTTCCTGCGCCCCCCCACCCTAGCTCATCTCCGCTCCGCTGCTCCGCTTCTCCGCCCTCCCTCGCCCGGGGGTGCAGGCGGAGCGGAGGTGAGCTAGGGCGGGAGGTCGTGGGGGGGGGAATGCAGCACCCCCGGGGGAGGAGGCGGGGCCGGAGATTTGGGGAAGGGGTTCGGAAGGGGCAGAGTTGGGGCGGGGCTGGGAGGCGGCCACAATTTTTTTTGCTTGGGGCGGCAAAAATCCTAGAGCCGGCCCTGCCTGGGTGCTAGAAGTTGCTTCCATCTGATATGAGCTGTGGGCTCTCCAGCATGTTCCTCATGAACAAGTGTTCCAGGCTCATAAACATCTCTGACGCTGCTAACGAGCCGCCCTCGCAGGCAGTGGCAATGGAGAGGCGGCGATGTACAAAATGAGCCATGGAGACTACGCTCCCCCGCTCAGGGTGGGGACACTTAGGTGGGGGAAATCTGCCCTGCTACCGATGTAGCTTATCTGTGGATAAGGGATTTCAGCCTACAGGGCTGGCCTGGCACCCTCTCCTCCTGGCATTGGCCAAGGCACCCCTCCATCAGTCCAGCAAGTTAGATGGGGGGCGTCCCCTTTGACTGTGGGGTTTTTTTTCTAGTCCCTTGTCTGTTCATGTACCCATCCTCTGGGCAGCATCCACTGACCCTAGGCTCCTACTCAGCTCACTGGGCACTGTCTGGGGATCTCTGCTCAGTGTCACCCTCTGGATCCTTGATTTGACCCTAGGACCTGCACCCCCATCCCTATTGTTCATAATCAGTTTTGTTCTGGGCTCTTCTGTGGCCCCTCCCTCAGCTAAGTGGGCGGGCCTTCTGTAGCCACCCCCCACCAACCAAACAGGCTGGCCCCAGCATGGGCAGTAAGGAATTCATATGAAATGCTCTCAGTCCCCCAAATTTAACTGCGGAAAGGGCAGGGTACAAAGGAGGGGAACAGACAGGGTTACTTTCCTGTATGTTGGTTTGCAGCTCTCCCCTTTCTGCTCCTTGGGAGCGGGAAGGATGGAGCTGGGGCGGGGGGCGGAGCACCTCATGGAGCGTCTGTAATAGACGCTGTTCTGTCTCCACACCTGCTTCCCGTCACCCGATAGCATCAGGAGCGGTTCTTTTATTACAAAGGCCTTTGCAACGAGGGAAGGCTGAGCAAAGGGCTGACAACGCTGGACACAGGCAGATCCGGGCAGCAGTTCTCATGCAACAGATCAACCTTTCCTCACGCTTCAGCTGAGGCTCTCAACGCACCTGCCTAGGAAATAATAAAGTTAATTCTTAATAAATAATGTTAAATCTTTATCCATTTTGTAGCGATGGTAGCAGGGGCCACCCAATGAGACGGCAGAAATGGGAAGTGAACGCAAAAGTCCCCCACTAGAGGCCCATTCCACCTTCTTTAGCCACAACCCAATTTGTCCCCATTTGATATTTCTAGGCCGAGATTTTTTTTTGCAGCAAATGGATGCCTGAATCTAGGCTCCCAAATCCACATTTAGGCATCTAAATTCATGGCTTCACTTTGAGTACCACAGGGTCAGCAAAGGGAGGCAAACATGGTCTCCCTGCTGCTTTCAGGGGAGGGAGAACCACAGATCCTGCACCCATGTGTATGGGGCTGGGGGGAAATGCAGCCCTCCCCAACTTCCTTGGGTGGGGAATGCTGATTCCACCCACTCGTTCAGGGTGGAAACTGCCTCAGCAGTATTTTCAGGGAAGAAGCCACCTCGGCCTCAGGCTTCCTGCAAGGGGCATGTGGCCCCATCTCCAGGATTGTAACAAGGGGAGGGGAGGAAAAACGTGTCTCCTCATGCGCTTTGGGGGAGTGTGTGAAATCCTTCCCACCCACGGTTTAGGTGTTGAGGGGAAAATGCAGCCCACACCCACAGACAGGCTTGGGAAAGGTGGTAAGTGGCCCCCACCCCTGTGTTGAGGCTTTTACAAACAGACAACTGGGGTGGGTGTGTAGCATGGATGAAGAGTGGGTGGGGGTGTTGGTGTTTACCTAGTGATGGACAAAACTTCCTGTCTCACTATTATCTTATCCTAAGGTTTTATTCTGCTGCCAATCACCAGGGTATGTGAGCATGTAAAACCAATAGCAATAGTAAAGCACCCTGTGTGACAATTGGTGGTTGCCTTCTTCCCCACATTCTCATTTCAATGTACCTGCTACTGAAGTAAGAGTCACCAAGGCCAACTACAAGGGCAGAAAAACCTTAATGCAGTTATCTCGACTGTCTATCATTCAGATTACTCTTTAATGGGGGAATGCCTAGCTTACATAAACCTTTTCTTTATTAGATCTCAACATGCTTTACAAAAGAGAAATATTGTAGCTTGGGAAACTGAGGCACAGAAGCATAGTGACTTCCCCGGCTCATGTTTCTCAATCCCTGGGTTGGCACCCAAAATTGGGTCACCAGACTGTTTCAAAGGGTCGTGTGGGAGCTGGTGTCCCACAGGGCTGGCTGGGATCACTTCCCAGCACCACACAGTGCAACCTCTGGGGTTCCAGCGCTGCTCACCTTTGGCCCAGACGTCATGACAACAGGAATCCAGGTGGGCCAAGTTTGAGTGAGTGGTACTGCAGTCCCCAGAGTCAGCTTACAACTCCACTCTAGAGCCAAACCCAGCCAGCCCCACAGCACAGGAGCTGCCAATGTGGGGTGAGTGCCAGGCAGGACCCAACCCCCCTGGGCAGACAGGATCTCACCAAAACCACTCCAGGGCTTCCACCCCCAGACTATTTACTGGGTCACAACAGGCCATAACATTTACAAATGGGTCTGGAGGCCAAAAAGGTTGGGAACCACATGTCTCGCTCACCCAGCAGCAGAGCTGAGAACAGAAATCAGACCATAGGCCAGTCAGTTTATTTAATTACCAACTAAGAGTATGAACAGAAAAGTCTGAGGCAAAAGTTGCTTTGACTGCTGCATTTATTATTTCCTGATGTTTTATTTCCAGATTCCCTATACAGGGGAGTTTTTACTAAGAACGCAAACTCTGGAAAGGACAGTCCTTGTGTTGTGTATTTCTACAGATGCAGTTGAACCTGTAAACAATTTCCCATGATGGGAGAGTAGTACTAGGTGATTTTCATATGCAAGAGAAGGTATAGGCCCCTGCCCCGTGGAGCTTGCAGACAGAGAGAAGGGAAGAGGAACAGAGATTTTCTATGCAGGACAGCGTTCTCTTTGGTAAGCAGAAACGTCGCTTTTAAGAGGGACTGAAAGTTGGAGGGAACAGTCCAGTCCCAGCTGAAGTTTCTTGGCTCTATGTTCCACTTTGATCTGAAAAATAAATAAAATCAAGGTAGCGATGGAGTGAAGCGTGCAGCCCGACTCGCTGCTAGACCCATCGACACCATGTAGCCATTTTAAACAGAGCCTCCCCGTTCTGTTAACGATGGGTTCCTGGCCTCAGCCCCATATCCGCAGGATTCATCCAACAGTCACCATTTAAAAGGAGTCATCACTGACCAGGCAGAGTTAAGCAGAGGTCTGTCTGTGGTTGTACATTGCACCAGCACTTCCAGTTAGACTCAGTTTCTGCAGAAACCAAGCTAGTCACAGAGTGACATTTCTAGCTCTTATAATTGCAGAGAGAAAAAACCCACCTCCCCCAGTGCCAGAGCCTTCAGCACGTGTCAGGGGAAATCACCCTTCAGTTAAGTATAGCCAGTAAAAAGACTCTTCCGGATCATTGTAAAGCAGCCACCAGCTGCTCTGAGTAGAGCAGTCCTACTCCCCGAGCTATGGGGCCAGTTCCTCAGCTGGTGGAAACAGTTACATGAACGTCAATAGTGCTAAGCTGGTTTATATCAGCTAAGGATTTGTCCTACGGCTCCCAAGACTGTACCTGGAATCTGTCTACGGATGCATCAGAAGTCCTTGTACTCGTCAGATGGTGACACTTAAGGCCATTTAAGATGCCACAAGTCCCAGGGACATCAACCCCAGGAGGCAAGTTAACGATCAAGGTTTTGGAAGCGGTTGCCATTTCCTATATGGGGTGTGTGTCATGTTTTAATGCCAGTTCAGAGTCAAATCAGATTCCATTGAGTTAGTCACCCTGGAGTGTTGGTCAGGGTGGTCAAACATGAGAATTACTAGCTCAATGGCTCTTTAGCTCGGTTATTTGGAAGCTTACTTTGCCCATCCATGGGTCTTTCCGGAGTTCCAGCCCCTTGGGAGAGACAATCATGTTCCGCTAGGTGGTAAGACTGTCTGGCCAGTCCATTAGTTCCCCTTGGCAGCATCAGCCTCTTCCATTTAGAGGGAGATCCCTGCAAAAGGCAAACATGGAACTGGAATCAGATCAGAAGTCCACAGGCCTTTATGTATAGAAGAATGCACCAAATCAGCAGGAATACAGCCAAAACACCGGCACCTCTGAAATTCAAAGAGGGGAGGGGAAGCATGATCTAATGATCCCTTCTGGCCTTGCTTTACTAGCACACTCCAAAAGAAAGTTGCATTGAGCAGTTTAAGATATATAGCCCTCCCCACTCCCCCTTAAACTATACAGATTTACATTTCACCCAGTGCTTTGCAGATCAGTGGCTGTGTTCCAAGCCAGCCCCTCTCAGTGCAGGACTGTTCTAGCAGAGAGAATGAGACCAACTTGCATTTTACTCTGCCTCCTTTTTTGACCATGAGATCGGTGTTCAGATCTGATGGGAAAGGGATCTGGAGGTGAAGGAAGCTGCACTTAATGGAGTCGTCAATCTCACCTTGCAGGATAGCTGCTGTGTGCCTACTTCATTCCATCCAGCAGGCCAGAGATCTCAGCAACTGCTCTGGTTCTGAAGGGCGCCTCCAGACGGGCCCTAGGAAACAGATTTGCACTATCCTTACAGCCAGTGAAGAACAGGGCTGCAGATGCCAGAGAACTAGGAACTCATGCAACTAAGGGCTTCTAAACAAGAGCACCACATCAAAGAAGCCAATGCCCTGCAAGTGAAAGCTTATAGGAGAGACGAGTGACAGCCATCGGCACACGGGGCTTTGCTGCCCAAGTCTCTCCTCCTTATTCTTGCATGTAGTTGGAGACCCTGTGGCTATTTCACGGAGCCACAGCTCTTGGTTTTACATGCACGCCAAATGCTCAACACTCATTCAGGGAGGCTCGTTACAGCTGCTGGAGGGATGGGGAGATTAGAGGATAGGTAACGTGGCAAAGGTAGTGGACAAAGCACTGGACTGCGACTCAGGAGACCTGGGTTCTATTCCCACCGCTGGCCAAGCTTGGGCAAGTTCCTGCCACTGTTTGTGCCAGTTTCCATATCTGTAAAATGGGGACACCACCACCAACTTTTATCCTGAAGGTGAGAGAGAAAAGGTCACCAGAACATCAGCTAGTTGCAAACCACAGCAAGTGGTATTTTGCCTTTAATCCCCCACAGACCTGCCTGCTCTGCAACAGACGGTCACTCCTGCTTATGGGCTGAGTAGAGCAACATCTCGCACTCGCCTGCCGGACTCCGCCGCGGGTGAAAGCAGGCAATCTCCAGGACAGGGGCACCAGCTCCTCATCTGAAGAGGGAGGAAAAAAAAGCCAACAGCCCATTAGCCCACCACAATCTCAGTCTTATGGGCACTAAGTGCTACTGGAACAGGAAACCGCCTCTTAAGAGGAAGCAAAGCAAAGACTATCCTTCTCGGCTCCCCTTTCAAAAGCACACCTGATAACCACATGGCATTCAACAGCAGGTTCTCTTCCAGAGGATGGGGCCAACCATTTCAGGCTGAATCTATAAACAAGTTTTATGAATGCCAAGGGCCTCTAGAACCACCCCCTTTCCCAACACAGAAACCTGAAAATAAACAGTCCTCTGTAGCTAGATAGAGGCCGCTCGCCCATCCCTAGACACCTCCGGGCCAGGCAAAGCCTGCGTAGACACTCCTAGCGCATGTATTTTCCTGAAATGTTGCTGGACAGTTACAGTGGAACAAACTGAACAGCGACCGTCGAGGAAAACAGGTCACTTTTGGCTCCTTTTTGACCACGTCAGCTACACAAGAGAGACAGACGCAGCTTCGATAGGGCCGTGGGAACATCAGAGGGCTTCCGGGGGGGAGGAAAGGGACAAACAAAGCATGGCCAATCATTGTTGGGTTCCTTAACTATGCTGCTCAGTTTACATGCTGACCAAGAGAAGCCCCCCCCGCAGCAGCTTTTAAAAGACTCAACAGAACAAGGGTGTACAGCAAGCCACTTACCCTGCGGGGAAAGCAAGTGAGCAATGCCAGGCTCATGCTTCAGTGGTTCCAGCATCTCACGGCTCCGTCCCAGCCCACGCACAGATACCAGGCGAGATCTGGAAGAAAGGAATGGCAGGATCAGAGAGGATAAAAACTGATCTCTAGTAAATAATCCATAGAAAATGGTGAACGATATAACATATGAAAAAAGTAAATTAATGATAATTTAAGAATATTCAGCTACATAATAGCTTCAATACAGGTGTATAGTTATAGTGCACCCTCCTAGGTAGCAAAAAGATGTACCAAATCTAGTGTAAAGGCTCTATTTAGTTTTAGATCAACTTGTTTTAATGGTTATATCAACCCATTGAGAATGTGTCCTTTCTGTAGAAATTTAACAGAAATACAAATGAAAAAGTTTGTTAAAATCAATCATTTAAATTGAGGCTTTCCACTTGGTGATTTAAATCACCCCACACCCTGGGCAGGATCTGCACAAGTCTGGGAAGCAGATGCTGTTACAGGCTTAGTGATTTTGCTACACCTGAAATAGTAGAGATTTTGCTTTAATGGGGGTAAGGGGAATCTCTCTTCCACCTCTTAACTGCTTTAGCATTTATGCTTCTCCATTTTATGGACCCTCCTCTTCTCCCCTGAAAGACTAAAATGCAGACCTGTCTCCAGACAAGCCTGTCTAACCTAAACACCACTCCCTATGCCAGCTTCCCCCACTCACCACACCGCAGGGACCTAAGTCCGGCATGGGGCCTTCATATCAGTAATGCAGCATTTAACTCCTCCTGGGTTTACTACCAAGCATCAAAGCTAGTTAACAATTGGGCATTAGCCAAAGCGGACTGGCCCCAATTCTGCTTACATCACATTAAAGCCAGTTGAATCACAGTAGTGTAAAGCCACTGAGTGCAGAATCGGGCCCTGTATCATTGCCATGCGCAAAACTCACCCACCTAGTGAAACACCTTACTCACTACCACCCCCTTTTCCACTCCGCCAGACACCAGAGGCGCTTCTGGACAAACACACAGCCCCACACAGCTTCCTGCAACGTTTCATTCCTGGGCACAAAACCACCCCCCCCCCACACACACACAGCTGGGCATCCGCCTTTACAAACAGGCTGTTTATCTGATCAGCTGCCGCTTTCGCAGGCTAGTGGGCTAGACCCCAGGGCAGTGCTACCTCCGGGCTTGCCACATCATTCATAACAGTAAAAAAATATAGATATTGCTTTCATTACAAATTAAGAAACAAATACAGGAGACCCTTTAAGGCACAGAGTGAGGTGCTCTCCTCCATGGCCCCACTCCCACCCACAACAGAGCCTCTCCCAGCTCAGAGCCTCCCCGGATTTATTGCTAAACAGACCTTGAAGTTTTCCCAGCTGTAGAGCCCTGCAAATCCCCGGGGGCATCCGCTTTATATCCGCGCAGGGCTCTGACGGTAAGAGCCAGGCGGGCAGGTTGAGGATAATCGTGTGCAGACCCTCCACCTGTCCTAGGCGGGAGGGCCCGAGCAGCCCCCGACCCCCAGCCCAGGGCAGGTGGAGGGACCCAGGGGTGTGTTTCGGAGCCGCAGCCCGGCCAAGGTAAGCAGAGCCCTGCAAATCCACAGGCCATTTTTGCGGCTCGGATGCGGATACACGTGTTTTGTACCCACGCAGGGCTCTACCCCCTGCCAGGATCAGCGCTTCCCCCTCCCCCTCCGGGCCAGGTGGGAATCCAGCCCGGAGCCGCAGCGAGCCCCATCCCGCGCGGAGGCCCAGGCCGGGACCCTTTGTATTTCCAACCCCTACAAAATATTACAGCCCAGCCCGCCCCCCTGGAAACCTGAGTCGCTCCAGGTCAGCTGGCAGGGGGCAGAGCCCCCAGGCGCCCCCGGGGAAGAGAGGATGGCGACGGATTGCAAACACCCCCCAGGCCTTACCCGAGCGCACCCAGCCGGGGACTGCCAAGGAAAAGAGCGAAGCGCTTCCGACACGTGGCTTTTAAGGGTCAGCCCCGCCCGCGGCGATGCTCTGATTGGCTCCTCCGCGAGGCCGTCCTTCAAAGCCTTCTGGGAGCTGTAGTTCAACTCGCTTGCCCGCTTTAGCCACCCAGCCTGGCTGGCGACCTGTCTTTAGTAACTAGCCCAGGCACAAACAAGCGCCACGTGCAAGGAGCATTGAGGTTGCAAAGTCAGGCGCTGAAAAGTTAGGAAGCTCTGGAGTTGAGGCTGTCTGTGCCATCTGAATTCACCCTCACCCCCCTTGTGCATATGCAGTAAGATTAGGGTGACCAGACAGCAAATGTGAAAAATCAGGACAGGGGGTAGGGGGTAATAGGAGCCTATATAAGAAAAAGACCCAAAAATTAGGGACCGTCCCTATAAAATCAGGACATCTGGTTACCCTAAGTAGGATACAGACTTTAATTGTACCATCACCTGCGATTTCTTCCACAGGACCTCTGCCTCCTTCGGGTTTTAGCGTGGGGTTCTTCACCCTTCAAAAAATCTGGGGGTGATGCAGTACCCCACCACCCTCTCCTCCAAAGCGTGCGTGTATGGGGGGGGGGTGTTCCACTCATCTGCCCACGAGACGTTTTCCATACATATCCCTCTTCCAAAAACACAAGAAAGTGAGGTTGTTCCCAACCCCCGCCTTCTGAAACAATTGGGTGAGATTTCCGATCTACCACCCTCTGGCAACTTTGGGGAGAAGTCTCCCCCCCAAAAAATACATGGGGACTGAATTCCACCCCAAAAGCATTCCACCTCTCCTTCCCCCAGGATACCTTGACTGTTGCCGTTTCCCTGGATACAGGGACTGAACCGACACTCATAACTTGAACTCCGTCTGAAAAGCTGGTGAACAGAATTGTCTTCAAAATGTTAAAGGGGAAAAAAGACCACAGGTTCCATGTTGTCCAAAACAGAGAGATTGTTTGCAGGGCCTGGTCACGTCACAGCCTAAAGAGCATAGGTATTTGGAGTTCCAAAGGGGGGGCAAAGAAATCACTCACAAATCATGCCATTTACGTTGTGCCTGAACTGAAGGTTATTGGATTAGACCTCCTGATAGGGGTAAGAGCCTCCACTGATATTAATAACATCCTGCCCTTCCTTCTTTACAGAAAGGGTTTTTATGTCATTTTCCTTTATTCTCCTGCAAGCCCCCCACCCAGAGCTGAAAGTAAGCTGGACCGGACCGGCTTCCCCAGGCTGGTGATTTAAAGAGCTCGGGGCTCCCTGCAGCAGCTGGAGCCCAGGGCCCTTTAAATCGCCTCCTGAGTCCTGCTGCCGGAGCCCTGGGGTAGCAGTGGCAGGGCTCTGTCGGCGATTTAAAGGGCCTGGAGCTCTGCTGTGGTAGCGGCGGCCAGAGCCCCGGGCCCTTTAAATCACCCCTGAGCCCTGGGGCTCCCAGCCGCCTCTGCAGCTGGTAGCTCCGGGCGTGATTTAAAGGCCCCACCTCTTCCGGTTGAGGCCATGCCCCCTGCTCAGGACTCCGGCGTACCCAGTAAATCCTTTAATTAATTTACTTTCACCCCTTCCCCCGCCCTTGTGACAGCTGACAGGGTACACTAGGATGACAAGATATTAGGTCTGGCTTAGCCATCCATTAGGAAATATTAGATAGGATAGCAGCACTGATCAGCCTTACAACTGTTGCATGTATTGATGTTAATAAAACAGGTACATGTCAGGCGCAGCCTCAGGTCACCTGCAGCAAACAGATTCAATCAGGAGGGCTAAACTATGAAATCAAAGCCCTGGAACATTTTTTTTCCTCGTGGTAGGGCAGGAGAGAACAAGGTATTCAGAACGTTATTATTGCAGCTTGTTATATGAACACTCAATCAAAAGCATTAAGGAACAGGCTAGTACAGGCCTCTTTGTGTCACTGCTAAAATTCCATTCTACTGCAGCGAAACCTCGGAAACAAAGGGAGACAGTCTTGCCATGTAACATTGCTGGTCAGTTACATCAGCAGAAAAATGCACTCCGCTTCCTCCCACCTGTCCAACTGTACTAAGCACAAAAGGTATCTCCACAGAACACTCAGCTCCTTACGCCCGGTACAATCTTAGCTCAAGACAATGTCAACATTCAACGGGGCATGTTGACGATGGGAGTCCTACATATATACATACACATGCAAAGAATGTAAAGGTCCTAGATTTCCCTTACTGTCACTCATTTCAAATACATTGAATACATAAGTTGCAGTTGCCCCATGAAACATCACATCATGTTTACTATCTCCATTGCACTTGATAAAAACCAGACTGATCTGTATTCTAATTACGGAAAGAGCCTTGTCATAGCAGTGGGTTCGTTGAAGTACGTAGCTTTTGCTGCCAATTTCTGCATCAACATGGATAGAGGGGCAATTAAATGCTTCTTAGTCGCAATTTTAGTTACCAAAGGCTTTCTTAAACTCAGACTTTAAGGTCAGAAGGGACCATTATGATCATCTAGTCTGACCTCCTGCACAACGCAGGCCACAGAATCTCACCCACCCACTCCTATATCAAACCTATGTCTGAGCTATTGAAGTCCTCAGATCACGGTTTAAAGACTTCAAGGAGCAGAGAATCTTCCAGCAAGGGTACGCAGAGTGCCAGGCAAAAGAGGAACATTGCTGCTCAGACTTGCTTCTCTTTTTGACAAAACATGGCCCGTTCCCATGGGCAGACTTTCCACTTTGCCCTTTTCCAGGGGTCCCTGATGTAAAACGGTGTTTGTGTATGGGGCCAGACAGCACTATGCCTGTGACTGGAAACCAGGTGCAAGACTAGAGCAAGGCAACAGATGTTTATTGCAGGTAGTTTGTCTGTTCCTATTTTGCGAAGACTTTATGGCACAAAGCCTGAAAAGGGCTTTTAATATACTAGGATGTACAAGAGTGCCTTTTTTTCCTGTCACACCTAACGCGACACAGCATTAGCTTAAGTATATTGCTACCCCCTCCAGCATATACAACAGCAATTAGAAAACTGTCTTTCATGTGAGTGGCACCTTGGAAGTTACACAATATATTTAATTACATTGCTCTGACCCGTTTCTCGTTCACTATTTTAAATTTTACTTTTACAACATTCATTCAGACAAGACAGGAGAAGTAAAGTCTAGAATCTTACTGGACCATCAAGGCCTGTCCAGATCAATAGGACTGTCGTAGACCGAACCACGTTTAAATGGGACTACTGTTAGCAACATCGTAAGTTGTTTCTCTGACCAATGGGGGAGAAATTCCTCACACATACATCAAGACCTAGACAAGCAAAACTGTGCTAATGGCTAGCTAGAGAGCATTAGCCTATGATAGTTTAATACTATACTCATCCTCTCCACTTCCCAAAAAACCCTCCCTGTCCAGATTGCTCAAGATCACCGTGCCAGAAGCCTGCTAGCTCTACATTGGTGTATAGATAAAGCGTAGCAAAAGCCTTTGTCTGCATGTTTTTCCCTGCGATCTACAGCCACCTTACCCATTCCACATTGAGGCGTTGAGACGTTTGAGTGGTGACTGATGGTGATTTTTTAAAGAACATATTTACTGAAAATAGTTTCGTGTGAGTATAAGACAATTAAATGGGTAGCAAAACAGAGAGAAGAGCAGGAACCAAAATGCAAAGGATAATTTTACTTAAAAGACCAATTTTTTTTTTATTGTACATTGGAGAAGAGTCTTCCCCCTGTGCCATCTTGTTTAAAGTTTATAAATTACAATTCCCCAAGAAGTATTAAGAGTTCATTTCGAGACCAAAGGAATAAAACTGTTGCCGTTCTAATTTTCACCATGAATAAAAGCTACCACGATGCTCCTCCAATACTCATTGTGTACAGGAAATGCCACAGTCCCCCTGTACTTTGAGTCAGAGACCTGGGTGGAAGAGGGGCCATCCCTTCACTACTGCAGGTTCCAGGTGCAGCGTAGGAGTCTGGTGCCTGCTGGCTTGTCGCGTAGAGACAATGCCTCAGCAATGAGGCTATAACATGGCTGGAATCTCTGAAGAGACAGTGTCCAAAGGCTGCCAGTGACAGTCCATCAAGGCATCATAGAGTTCTTCACTCTGTTCCATAAACTGTTTGTTTGCTTCTGTCACGTCCATCTGAGGCATTGGATCTAAAAGAGGAAAGAAACAAGGCATCAATGGGTCACATACAAACTGTGCTTACAAATAACTAACATGAATCGTATTGAAACAAATGCAGAGGCTCACAATACATTCCTGGCACTTGCAAGAGAACTTTCAACCTGAGCATCTGAAAGTGCTTCACAGTCATAGACTTTAAGGATAGAAGAAACTGTCACGATGATTTACTCTGACCTCCTGCACATCACAGACCACAGAACCTCACCCACCCACTCCTGTAATAGACCCAGAACTTCTGGCTGAGTTACTGAAGTCCTCAAATCTTGATTTAAAGACAAAATTACAGAGAATCCACCATTTACTCTACTGCAAACCAGAAAGTGACCCATGCCCCATGCTACTGCTGAAGGCAAAAACCCCCTAGGGTCTCTGCCAATCTGACCTTGGGAAAATTCCTTCCTGACCCAAAATAGGATGATCAGTTAGACCCTGAGCATGTGGGCGAGACCCACCAGCCAGAAACCTGGGAAAGAATTCTCTGAACCCTCCCATCTAGTGTCCCATCTCCAGCCGTTGGAGGTATTTGCGAATAGCTGTTGTGGATGGGCCATATGCCATTGCAGGCAATCTCATTTTACCATCCCCTCCATAAACAAGTCTTGAAACAAGTCAGTTTTTTGTCCCCCACTACTCTCCTTTGAAGGCTGTTCCAGAACTTCACTCTTCTGATGGTTAGAAGCTTTAATCTATTTTCAAGCCTAATCTTGCTGATGGCCAGTTTATATCCAGTTGTTCTTGTGCCAACACTGGCCCTTAAATTGAATAACCCGTCTCCCTCCCTGCTGTTTATCTCGCTGATGTATTTAGAGAGCAACCATATCTCCCCTCAGCCTTTGCTTTGTTAGGCTGAACAAGCCAAATCCTCAAGTCTCCTCTTGTAAGGTAGGTTTTCCATTCCTCTGATCAGCTAAGTAACCCTTCTCCGCACATGTTCTAGTTTGAATTCATGAGAGACCAGAATTGCACACAGCATTCCAGAAGAGGTCTCACCAGGCCTTGTATAATGGTAATAACACTTCCCTGTCTCTACTGGAAATACCTCACCTGATGCATCCTAGGATTGCATTAGCCTTTTTCATGGCTGCATCACATTGGTGGCTCATAGTCACCCTGTGGTCTTTCTCTGCCTCTGAGGAACTCCACTAGTAACCTCCCTCCAGTCTGAAAGCTCACCTTTCAGCATGACGCATTGTAGTCTCCCCTTTAACCAGTTCCTTACCCACCTTTTGAGTCCTGGATTAATCACCATCTTCTCCAATTTAACTAATAATTTACCATATGGAACTGTATCAGATTCTTTACTGAAATCCAGATAGAATAGATCTACTGCATTTCCTTTGTCTAGAAAATCAGTTATCTTCTCAAAGAAAGTGATCAGGCTGGTCTGGCACAATCTACCTTTTGTTAAACCATGTGGTATTTTATCCCAATTACCGTATACCTCCATGTCCTTAACTACTCTTGCTAAATTTGTTCTAAGATCTTGCATAAAACTGCAGTCAAACTAATGGGCCTGCAGTTTCTGGATCACTTCCCCCCACCCCCTTTCTTAAATATAGATACCTTATTTGCAACTCTCCAGTCACAGGACCCCCGAGTTTAGAGTCATTAAAAATCCTTGCTATTGGGCCTGCAATTTAATGTGCCAGTTCCTTTTATGATTCTTGGATGGAGATTATCCAGCCTCCGCTACCCCCCCCAGTTTGGATTTGGCTTCCGTCTCAGATTTCTACTTCCATATCCTCATTCCCATTAGTCACCCTGCCACTGTTTCTAAGCTCCTCATGAATCTTATTAAAAACTGAGCCACAGTATTCATTTAGGTGTTGGGCCATACCTAGATTATCTTTAACCTCTCCCCCAGTTGCAGTGTTTAGCAGTCCCACTTCTCTCCTTGTTTTCTTTTTTATTTATATGACTAAAGGACCTTTTACTATTGGTTTTAATTTCCTTTGCAAGGTCCAGCTCTAACTGGCTTTTGGCAGTTCTCACTTTTTCCTCTATACTGTCTGACCTCCAAGAGGTAGCTTTCCTTGCTGATCCATCCCTTCTTCCATTCCTTGTAGGCTTTCTGCTTTCTCTTAATAACCTGCTTGAGATGTGTGTTCATTCAGTTTAGTCAGCAACCCCTCCCTACAAATTTCCCCCCTTTGCTTGGAATGCAGGCTCTAGATAGCTTCTGCAACTTTGACTTAAAGTAATTCCAAGCCTCTTCCACATTCAGATTCTTGGAGTTCTTCAGTCCAGTCCACTTCCCTAATTCATTCCTCTAATTTTGTTAAAGCTTGCCCTTTTGAAATCAAGAACCCTAGTTGCAGACTTATTTTTGTTTATCCTTCCATTTAGATTAAACTGAATTGTTTCATGATTAAGGCTACGATTTAATCATGGGTATTTTTAGTAAAAGTCATGGACAAGTCACGGGAGTGTGTGCGCCCTGGGCTCCCGCTGCCCCCAGGGCCTGCTGCCTAGGGCCGCCAGAGCAGTGGCAGTTGTGGCTGGCCCTGGGTCTGGGGCTGCTCCAGCAGTGGCGGGTACGGCTGCAGGGCTGCGCGAGCGGCTGGCTGCAGAGCCGCTCCAGCAGTGGTCGGTGGGACTGTCCCCAGGCCAGCTGCTCGGGCGGCTCTGGGGTCAGCCACGCTGGCCGCTGCAGGAGTCACAGAGGTCTCAGGAAATCACGGACAAACACGGAGCCCTATTCATGATCACTCAAGCCAATGTTGTCGTCTACAACCTGTTCTTCTAGGAGGTCCTCGCCGCTTACCAAAACTAAAGCTAAAATGACATCACTGCTTGTTGGTTCGTGCCTATTCGGTAAAGAAATCTGTCAGTTATCACATCCAGGAATATCTGGGCCCTATGATTATTAGTAGTACTTGTCTTCCAATCTATAGCTGGGAAATTAAAGTCTCCTAAAATCACACAATTCCCAGTAAAAAGCCACAGAGGGTCCTGTGGCACCTTTAAGACTAACAGAAGTATTGGGAGCATAAGCTTTCGTGGGTAAGAACCTCACTTCTTCAGATGCAAGACAATTCCCAGTGGTATTTATTTCATTACATTCATCATGAACCGAGCAAGTGTCACAACACCCCTGTGAGGTAGGTCTGAATAGAGTCCCTATTTTACATTTGGAGAAAATGATTGTAAAGCATTTTGAAATTGAACAGCAAAGTGTAATGTGCTGACATTCTATTACTACAAAAAATGTAAACGTTAAAGGGACCTGTGAGGTTGCGTTAGACGTGAACTTGGATTGTTAAAACAAGTTTGCAAAAAACAAATTAAAAAATCCCAGAAATATTTCCACTCTAAAAAACCCAGCCAACCAAAAAAAACCTTTTTGTTTGGATTTAATATTCTCCTGTCACATTTGCAACCCAAAGATGACAGTATCAGGTTAGCACAAGCACCAGGAAAGTGCATGAGTCAGACTATGAAGTGAAACTGACTGGTCCATTGAAATGCAAAAAAAAGAAAAACAGACCATAGAAGTGTAAAAATTAGATTGTAATAATGCTGCATTTTAATCAGATCAGACATGAATAGATCATGTGAGGAATATTTAAAAATATTATTAGATAATATATTTTTGGGGTTTGTATCAAATTCAACCTCTAAATACAGGGCAAGTTTAGTCAGCAAGAAAACCCCCCACAAAGGTACTCTAATTGGTGCTTTGCTGTATCAATATCAGAGGAGAGGAATTATCTTATATTATGAACTATTTTTAGAAACAAAGAGGGCTTTCCAGTTAAGTGATGTCATACTCATATAGACCCTTGTAAAGGATCTGGCTATTTGACTTTTATTTTTTATGTATACATTTAAAAGAGTGAGACATCCTATAAGTTGCATACTCAGCTCATGACTATTAGAGTGAACACCACACAAAAATTGTTGCTGCTTCCTGATTAAATATAAAAGGACAGTGATAACTTGAACAAACAGAATACACAACTGTGATGGTTTTATAACAGAGAAGATTTATTAAAGGAAGGACAACATCTTTTGATCTGCACATGATTTAAGTTCATATTTCCAAGGGTGGAAGGGTATAAGCACTATTCCATACAAGCCTGTCAATGCTAGCGAAGACAATTAGTCTGTGCCAAGACTGGAATAGTAAGTTTGGAATAAGGGGGCAGAGAAAGGGACTTCATAGGGAAGTCTGCACAGTACCTGTCCACACTACCAATCTGAAACTTTCATGAACCCCAAATTCATTCAAAAATACAGATGTGAAATGTCAATCCATGAAAACTCTGTATCAATATAATGAAAACTGCCAGTTGCAACGCAGATTTAAAATAAAGACACATACCTTCTAATGCATCCTCGCCGACTTCTTCATATGTCTGCAAGGGCAACAAAGATAGCTTCAGGGCAACAAACATATCACTGCATCTGAAAACATCACCTGTTTATTACTGCCGCCCCACTAGGACGCTCACATGGGGGCTGATTAAGGCAGAATCCTTAGTCCCCAAGCCCTGGGGTCCAGCCCTAGTAGGCTCGGAGATTCTGTGTAGGTCTAAAAGATGCAGCCCTTCCTGGAATCCTTGCAGTACAGGTCTGTCGCATCTTACGCGCATTTAACATGCGCGATTTCAGCTTTACGTGGTTGGGGGGAGGGGGGAGAAGCCAGTGATTCCACCAGCGCGAGACGTGAATCTGCTGTTCCCACTACAGTACTCAGTCCCCCTGTGCCTCTCATACTGTGCGCATCTCACCGCGCTGGGTGAGATTCTACTGTGCCTGTACTGTTTAAAGATACAGTAGGTATTTTTCGTATAACATGGCCCCTAAACGCAAGCCATCTACTTCATCTGGTGCTCAACCGAAGAAACAGTGATGCGTTCCAACACTGGAGGAAAAACTGGCTATGTTGGACTTATTGAGAGATGGTATGTCCATTGCCAACGTGGCACGTAAATACGGCCGCAACGAATCTAGCATCCGTGCCATCAAGATTCGAGAGAGAGAAATTTGTCAAGCCGTGGCATCAAGTGCTTCAGGAACTGCTACGGTGCCGAGCCAAGTGCGTGATAAGACTTTAGTGAAGACTGAAAAGGCATTAAACTTACGTCTGGAAGACATGAACCGTAAACGTGTGCCTATCAATGGCAACATGTTGCGAGAAAAGGCTCTTAGCCTGTACGCGCTGTTCAAACCTCCTGCCGAAGAGGGACAGCCTTCTGATGAGAAGGAATTCAAAGCCAGCCAAGGTTGGCTTAACAGTTTTAGGAACCGCTTCAACCTCAAACATGCAGACTACTGGTGAAGCTGCATCTGCCAATGAGGAGGCAGCAAAAGCCTACCCCGAACAATTAAAGAAAATCATAGCCCCTTTCCTCTATCTTCCGGAACAAGTTTTTAATGCTGACGAGACTGGGCTCTTCTGGAAAAAAATGCCCACCCGCACTTACATTTCGAAATCAGAAAGACAAGCCCTGGCTTCAAAGCAGCTAAAGACTGTGTTGCTTTGTGGCAATGTGGCTGGGCATTTAATAAAGCCGGGCTTGCTCTACAGGGCTGCAAATCCCCGTGCCCTAAAAGGCAAGAACAAAAATCTCCTGCCTGTGTTCTGGCAATCAAATAAAAAGGCTTGGGTGATGGCAGCATTATTTCTGAATTGGTTCCACAAGTGTTTCATTCTGGAGGTCAAGCAGTACCTTGAAGAGAAAGGACTTGACTTTAAAGTTTTGCTGATCGTAGACAATGCTCCTGGCCACCCTGCAGCACTCTGGTTTGCGCAGACCGACGTTGAAGTCGTCTTTCTCCCCCCCCAATACCACCTCCATCCTCTAACCTCTCGACCAAGGCGTCATTAGCTGTTTCAAGGCACGTACACGAGGCTTACATTCTCACGGATCCTTACCGCTATGGATGCTGATCCCAATGTTAATGTGATGGAGTGTTGCAAGTCCTTCAACATTGCTGATTGCATCACTTATATTAAACAGGCAATGGATGCAATCAAGCCTGAAACAGGCAATGCATGTTGGCGAAACCTATGGGAAAACTGTGTGAATGATTTTAAGGGTTTCCCGACCATTGACAAAGAAGTGAAGCTCATTGTTCAGGTGGCCAGGCAAGTGGGTGGCGATGGCTTCATCGACATCCTCGAGGAAGAAATTGAGGAATTAATTGAGGGCCATAGAGAAACACTGACTAATGAAGGAGTTAGAGGAACTGATAAAATCGGCTACAGAAGACGATGATGATGATGAACTGGAAGAGCCAGCAACTTGGAATCTTCATAAATGTTCTGAAGTGTTCCAAGCAGCGAAACACTTGAATGATTTAATTTCTGAATACGATCCTGCTATGGAAGGAAGCCTCAAAATCACACGTAGTATTACGGATGATTTGAGACCGTACCAAGAAATGTTGGAGGAGCTCAAGAGACAACAGTGACAGTTGCCATGTTTTTAAAGAAAAAACCACCACCAGCAGCAGCGCCTACACAATCAACTTCACGAGCTGAACCAGAGCCAACCACTTCGTCTACGACTCGCTCTCCGTCACCCAAGCCTGGCCCATCGTCTCCTGGATCGACATCAAGCCCGGACGACTCAATGATAGTGTTGTCAGGGGAAGAGGAAGACTAATCCTTGGAGTGTGTACAGTACAAGACTAGCAAGAGTAGCCAGGATGACTGGTGACTGTTCAGGTTTACAGTACTGCACTGTTATCATTTTTTATTCTTTCATTCTTCGGTCTCTCTGTTATGTTATTAAAAATACTGTAAAATTATATTTTGCATATGTAGTCTTTATTACATACTGTACATGGCTGTACACAATACATAGTACTGTACAGGGTTGTAGACACAAAACGGTACTTTTGGGTGATTTAAGGGATTTTCAAGGATCGTTTTGACTATGCGCGATTTTGGCTTTACGCGCTGACTGCGGAACGTAACCCCAGTGTAAGATGCGACAGACCTGCACTGCACGCTGAGGCCTTGCTCCTGGCACACACCATACACCAGGGCTTGTGGTGGGATCCTTGAAAGGTAGCCTCATGGCTGTCATCCACAGTGCCTATACCTGGGGTATCCTTCCCCCAGCCACAACTGGGGCTTTAAATGCCCCTTTATACAGCTCTGACCCCTTTACCCAGCATAAAGGTAAAGCAGCAGGCCACAATACCAGTCAGCTGTTTGCTAGGTGGCTTTGCTTCCTTCTGTGGCAGGAAGATCAAGGACCCAGGAAAACAGGTATCCCTCTCCTGTTTGTAAAATGCATTGGGATCTTCTGTGATGAGAGATTATTGAAATATAAAAAAATGAGTGCCACGGCCCTACCTGCATGGTGCTCTGTGTGTATCCATACTGGGGATAGCTGTAGCTATAACTGCCTGTGTTCTGGTCATATCCCCACTGGGCATAGTAGTTCTGATAGTGTTGGTAATACTGGTTATAATTATAGTTGTACATCTGATTGTACTCCACCGTCTTCACACGGTTACTTTAAAAAAAATAAAAAGAAAGACGTTACAAACAAGGAAGATTATTTAAGGAAAAAAACAGATGAGTGACATGATTTGATCTACAACATCTTCCAATACTGTGGCACCTTTTGTTGGTGATGTTTTGTTTGTTTGTTTGTGTTTTTCCATCCTCAGACCTTTGTAGGAGGGACTGGTTGGTTTTCCATCCCCACTCCTGCCCCCACTATTATTTTAATTATTAGAACACTTTGCTTTCTTACTACTGGATTCACGTAGCGCAATTTTAGAGAGTAGGAGAGGGAACAGCTGAGAATTGTGAGCATCAGGTCTGGAAAGACCTAGTCACTGGAAGCCAGGGTTCAAATCTCTGCAGAGGATTCATCCCTTCATCCATCTGATACAGTAGAGTTACACTGAGTACTGTGTAGCATACGGAAGGGTTTAGGGGGTGGTTCTGGGTTTTAAAAACAGGGGCTCCTTTTTCTGTATGTGGGTGCTGAAGACCCCTACAAGTTTTGCAAAAGTATAGTCGTATACCCTGGTCTGTGACAAAACTTTCCCTCACTACTGGTGTGCAGCAGGCTGTGATATGAATGGTTGCCCCCTTCCTCTCAGAGGTGGGTGCAGTTCTGTGCTGATATGCATACTGTTCATGAAGTACTTTGAGTTGAAAAGGGCCATAGAAATGAAAATTTGTAGTTTTCAAATGATCTGTGAATATGCCAAATTCTCTTTGCTTGCCATACAATGGCAATGCTTTCAGGGTACAGGTTCCTGATTAATATGGTTTGAAATAAATGAGGGGGGCAGAAAAGAGAGAGGACAAATATCCCTTAAAAATGAAAACATTATTTCACATATGAAAATACCCTTAATTAAGAAATTAAAGAGCGCTAGAGTAAAAG